TTTACCTATGGAATAAATAATCTTTGACTTTGACTTTGACTTTGTAAAACATTGCGATATTCAATGGAATTTTATGTAATTTAGTTGAGAGATCCAGGTCGTCAAATAATAATGAAATTACACAATAAAAATAAAATTATGAATTGACGTCATTAGTAACAGTACAATATGGTGTTTACGTCAAGGACCGTTACAACAAACACAGGTGTGCAAATATTATTAATGTTAATGAAATTAAATATTCACTGCTGCTGACATAAGTACGTATAATAAAGCTTTTTCACACATCCATATTTTTGTTGTAGTAAATGATTTTTTAGATTTGGTCAAGAGTGAAACGCGACATTTTGTTAACGAAGGTCGGCTATAGTTAGGGCTACAACTTTTGATGTTTTTCACTATTAAAAAGTATTACGTGCAGGCCGAAACCACAACCTTCCACTTGCTACGACATTGAAACACACCTATCACCTGATCAATAGGCATCAATACTTTCAAACACGCTTGTCCATTAAGAGTGTGAGGACATCCTAAAGAAAGTCTAGTTCAAGGGGCTTAAACACCATTTAGTTGTGATAGACTGTTTTCATCGCCCCTTACCCAATCTTCCATCGTACCTACATCCTTTAAAAAGTATCTCTAGAATAACTTGTGAAGTCAAGGTTTTAATATGTAAACTAATTATACTGTCTCAATGTCCGTATACGTTTCGAAACCTACAAAGGAACTGATGTCGATAGCGATCGGAATCTAATAATAATGAAATAAGTAGTTCAGGGGAACTAGTTAATTAGTTCCCCGCGTTGAACCACCTAACCTTAGTAAGGAATATGCTAGAACCGTGTATTTCTAAAGCAGCAGTACTATGTGCCCTTTTATAGAATAAGGATTTATTAGCAGTAGAACTCCTTTTGAAAGAATTCGTACAGGGAACTACTCCCACTTTACCTATTTCTGGCGCCAAGCAGTAATGTGAACATACTGCGATCCGGTTTTGAAGGGTAAGGGTGCTGGTGAAATTACAGGCACATGGGACTTGTTAACTTGTGTCTCAAGGTAGCGGGCGCAGGGGCAATGGCCGTCAGATCTTTATAAAACTCTGCACTGCAACTGTTAGAGATAGGCGTGTCGCTTACCACCAGACACACGACTTGTTCGTCCCGTCACGTAGTATTGTAAAAAAAAGGAGAACTATCACAGGTTTTCACTGTCACTGTCCCTATCTATCGGAGATAGAGTTTTCCGGAGACACTACGAGCCCGACGGCAAGACCAGGGTACAGCGAGCGTCCGGACCAAGCCCTCCGCTAGTGATACGCCTTTGCGTCTCTGACGGACCCGGACTTGGGTATGGACTCACTGGGGTTTGTGGTTAGCTGCAGAGACGGACATGTTTGTCTGCCCGGGATTTGCATGTTTCCGGGGCGTCTGACTCGTGAGCAGCTAGCGCGTCTTAGTAGCGGTCTAATTGAGGGCCTGAAGCGAGGAGACGCGCGGGGCACATGAGTTGCCCTTTAAGTCGGAAGCTATGTCCGGAAATTGTCGCAGGACACTGCGACTGGCATCTCCGGCACTAGCCTGGAGAGCTAGTAGAGGATAAACTAGATATCCTCCGGTCTTTCCAGCCGCTTAGGTTATTGGGAACTGGAGAGACGTCATTTTTCGGCGTCGGGACGTGAGCGTACCATACAGCTCCGCCACCAATGAGGAAATTTGGCAGTGGACTCAGAGTCGACGGTTTAGCGGTGGCAACCGCTAGTAGTGCAATGCGCAACGGAAAGTGAGCGTGCCTACCACTCCGATACCTAGATAGGTACAAATACTTCATCACAATGGTTACGTTACATTTTCCAGATGGAAAATGTAATGAATTATTGTGATGAAGTATTCGTACATTTTATTATAAAAAAAGAAAATAAACGGTGTCAATAAAAATATTACTTCGTTATGGTAAGAAAGTTGTTTTTATTCAGTCATAAATTGCATTATCGACTTGTATTTGAATTGTATATAATTTGACAGTATCACAGTATCTACTGTGGCGCTGGTGTGACAGGGCGGGGGCACGGTGTGTTACGGACCTGGGTTACGTCTGAAAAAAATTTTTATTAATTATAAACAATATATTACGAGTATTAACAATGAAAACCAAACTTTGTATAATCTTGATAGTAAGTAGTAAATAAGCAAATTAACTTTTACGTTCCAATTTTTGAAAATCCTTTGAATCAAATTCTATCAAACCGGGAAGGTGCAAGTTGCATACAAATGAAATAATTATCGTAACTGACTTTGGAATTATCATATTAATTTACCCATGAAACATTCGTCGACATGAACCATTTTGTATCTTTGTCGAATGTTTCTTTATGTGTCTTTATTACGATACATTAATTATTTTCATTAGAATGGCGTGTTTACACTAGGTCTTCAATAGGAATAGGGAGGAATGGGGAATACCTTCCTCCCCAATATAGCTAACAGCAATTCATCTTACATACACTGCAATATTGGACAGATTGCCATTTAGTACGTAAAACAGATGCCACTACAGTACTACAATAAATAGACACTTTATGTATTTTTTGCAGGTATTATGGTTGTTTTGTTTTTGTTGCCACAATTATTTATTATCTACAGTTCTTCCTACACAGGCTATGCCACACGGAGGGAAAGCCTTGAATACCGTAGATAGAACATTTTACTGAAAGAAGACTTAATATTGATTTTAAAAACAATTCGAACTGCCTTCAAAGATTTTTAAATAATCGCCTATCCGAACCGGGAATCGAACCCGCCAAATGTGAAAAAAAACCAGTCATTTTATTATACTGATCGAAACACTCAATCATAAGGATTGTTTTCTTTTAAATAACATAGCATCTTAAATAAAAAGCAGACCATGAAATTTAACATTAAATTGAAATTTTGTTCAAGAAAATGAACCTGTAGTATGAGAGTGTGCTGGAGTTACAAACTGAACTTAGACGTATTATGAAAATATATATAAAGCGACAAGAAGGGAAATTATCAAAAGAGTGAGAATTTGTTTGCTACAAAATGGGACAAATTTGGAGCATTTTGATAACTTAAATTGATTGTAAGTTGCAGTTAAATGTACCTAATTATGTTAATTAAATGAAAACAAATCTTGTGATTGAGGCTTTCGATCAGTATAGTAAAATTACAGATTTTCTTTTTTTTTCACATTTGGTGGGTTCGATTCCCGCTTCAGCCTGTTGATTATTTCAAAATCTTTGAATGCAACTCGAATTGTTTTTAATATGAAAATGAAGTCTTTCAGTAAAATTTTCTATTTCGTTCCATGTAGAATAATCGTGAGACGCCCTGTTTATGTTGTGACTATGTGGATAATTGATTTATGTAATTTTTTTGAGCAGCCTATTGTACGTACGTATCGAATGAAGTATCTATATTCCAAATAAATATTTATTGTATTTGGGACGACTCTTTTTTTCGTGTTTCCTATTTATAACTTTTTTAACCAACTTCAAAACCGGAGGAGGCAATTCAACTGTACTTTTTTTGTGTGTATGTTTCGTGATAACTCCGGCAATTGTGAACCGATTTTGATAATCTTTTTTTGTTGAAAATTCCCAGTATTGGTCCCATTTAAATTTGAAGAAAATATTCCACCTGTAAGGGTTAATAAATCCGGATAAATCCGGTTTCGCCCACTTACCGGTAACCGATTTTGAATTCCACGAAATTTTGAGGTCGATTTTTTTCATTAAAAAATTACAATTATTTTTATAACTATTTATAATATATGTATATATATATATATATATATATATATATATATATATATACACATACATATATTATAAATAGTTATATGTATATATATATAACTATTTCAGCCTAAGTTAATAACATAGTAAAGTAGGTAAAATACTTACTCAATCCACAATATTGAGCACACATCAGACGGCCAGGATTGGGGTATGTGTTACCATCAGAACCACACACAGGGTTGTACTCAGATGTCGCTGGGCAGGACGAGAGGCACCCCCTCAATGTGGAAGATTGGGTGGAACTCCTGAAAAAAATGGTTACTTATTTTTTTGTGCGGTATACTAAGATGGTAAACATTGAGAAGAAGACAAGTTTGTCATATACAATAATTACATACATAAATAGGTACAGTCTAATTGAAATGAGCAATAGTTTGAGAATGTATAAAAAAATCATTTTTATACATCTTCAAATTTTACGTCTGTTGTGCTCTTGCTCATTCTGGGCAAAAAAAAAAGTATATTTTGCAACCTATCACTTTTATATGTTTTTATCTATATGATAAGTTAAACTTACCCGTTAGGTCTTGGTGTAGGTTGCGGCTTTCCACCATTCTGGCCATATCTTTCATCTAAATTATTCTCATCTGCGTCATATATCTGCCTCTTACGCCTTAAGTTCATTGCCACGGCTTCATTTACAATTATAGCTGAAAATTAGCGCAATGCTATGAATAAGTGATATTACAAAAATACAGCCCGTGCTCGGTCGGTTTATATATTATTTTTAAAAACAATTGCAATTAAAGTCAAAATAAATAAGTAAGGAACAACTGAACAATCTCTAAATAACTTTTGTCGTATAGTGCACGGCCTCATGAATGAAGGTGCATGTTGATTTACATATTAACCTTCAATAACGAGTGTTTGACTATCGAAGGTAATATTTTGCTTTCGGGATACAATGTTACACTTGTAGTTAAATATATTATAAATACAATTTTATTGTCTAAATTAAAATGTTTTATTGTACTTATAAATTTTCAAAAATATACGGGACGGGACTAGAAACTCCGGAACACTAGAACCGGACTAGAACCGGACTTTCTGGTCGACCGAAGGAGGAACGATGAGGGTGGAAATAAATTGAAAAGTTCCTGCGCACACAAGCAGCTACACAAGCAGGCTACTTTTCTGCGATGGTCGAGACTTTATAGCTTCTACTCCAGAATAGAATTGTTGTTAATAAATCTCTTTGTTTTTCGCTTAACCGAGTCCGAGGCAGCTAACTGGTAATGGGCAGAGTCATCCCAAAGGTGGCAGCAGTACTCCATACACGATCGAACTTGTGCTTTATACAGATTTAAACACACGCCTGACCTTGAAAGTTTGACTAGTTTTTTGGAAGTAGTTTTTATATAAATAAACTATACTTATTGAAAATAATATACATATGTGTCTAGCATTTGTGGACTACGAAAAAGCCTTCGACTCCATCGAAACCTGGGCTGTTCTGGAATCCTTGCACCGATGCCAAATCGATTGGCGGTACGTACAGGTGCTGAGAAATCTGTACAGCAAGGCCACGATGTCGGTCCAAGTACAATGCAACAAGAAAATACCCATCCAGTTGCACAGAGGCGTGAGACAGAGAGAGATGTCATCTCTCCGAAACTGTTCTCAAACGTCTTCAAGACACTTGATTGGACCGGATCAATGTTAATGGCAAAAAAACTCACACACCTTCGCTTTGTCGACGACATCGTTATAATGGCAGAATCGCTCCAGGATCTGCAGAAAATGCTGAACAGCCTTAACGCTGCCTCATTATCGGTCGGTCTTCGGATGAATTTGGCCAAAACTAAGATCTTGTTCAATGAGCTCGTCATCGCGAAGCCGATTTCGATTAATGGCGAAACGCTCGAAGTTGTCCGAGAATGTGTCTACCTCGGGCAAACCCTGCAACTAGGCAGAGACAACTTCGAGCGTGAAATAGCTAGGAGAGTGCAGCTGGGTTGGGCAGCATTTGGGAAACCGCGTCATGTCTTCTCGTCACCACTCCCGCAGACCAGGATTTACAACCAACGCGTCCTACTATGTCCTATGTCTTTAAGGGACAAAGTCCGGAACGGAGCTATCTGGCATAAGACCAAAGTTGTAGACATCGTCCAGAAATGTAGCAAGCTGAAGTGGCAGTGGGCTGGCCACATCTGTCGCAGAACCGATGAGCGATGGAATAGACGGGTTCTCGAGTGGAGTTCACGTCTCGACAAACGTAATGTAGGATGTCCGCCTACAAGAAGGACCGACGATCTGAAGAAGGTCGCGGGTAGTTGTTGGATGCGGAAACCGGATGATCGGGCACTATCGCGTACACTTGGGGAGGCTTATTTATTTATTCTTATTTATTTGGGATAACAATAACCATACTTAATACAATACTAACTTTAACATACGTTACATTTTGGATAGGCCAATTAAATCCACTAAAATAATTACAGATATAGACGTAAATATTACTTAAGAAAGTAAAAACAAAAATAGGAATGAATAAATTTAAATGAAATTAAATAATCCTGTCTCTGATAAAAGAAAAACAAACGAGAAAGTGAGAGAAAAAGAACATTAAAATAAGATAAATATTCCATGAATATCAGTACATATTAATAATACAGTAATACATAAAACATATATACACAACACTATTATGTAAAAAGTGTCGTATGTCTAGTGCGACGTAAAGATACCCGTAGTGACACGCTTTCCAGCAATTCTGGGCAATTCAAACGTCCACGCACAATGTCATATAGAAGGCCCATGTCCAGCATGTCACGACGTTCTTCAAGAGTAAGGAGACCATAAGCGCGGCAGTCTTTGGTATAATTATTCGTAAAATGTTTACATTTATAGTTAAGGTGTTTGATATTTTTTTCTGAATACGTTCGATACGAGATTTATGTGTAGATGTATACATGGGTGACCACACGGGACTTGCGTATTCCAATACATTTTGCACATATGCAAAATTAACGACTCAGACCCAGTGGACATTTAAATGGCTGACACGTTCGCATTATGAAGCCTAACAAAAAAAAAAAAAAAAAAAAGGTTACAGTAGGATCTATCAGCTATGTAATTAATGTGAGAGGTAAACTGCATTTTATCGTCTAGAAGAACTCTCAGTTCACGCACCACCTTGATCGCTCTATAATGGCGTTATTAAAAGTATACTGGAATAAAATTGGCTTTTTCTTGCAAGTAAAACTAATGCACTGGCACTTTCCGATGATGACTGTGATATTGTTATTTATATAGTACGCAAAAAGATCATTCAAGTCTCGCTGTAGAAGTTCACAGTCCGCAGCAGAACGCACCGGAAGAAAAATTTTCTTATCGTCAGCATGCAGTAGATGGTGAAAATGTGTAATACAATTAGTAATATCAAATATATATGCGTTGTAAAATAGGGGACCGAGATGCAATCCCTGGGGCACACCAAACGGAATATCTGTAAAATCTAACCTATAACCTCCCAATACAACTGCTTGAGGACGATTTCCTAAATATGAGCTAATCCACCGCAGTAGATCACCGTGGATTCCTAAGGCTTGTGGTTTATCCAGCAAGATATCGTGGTCTACACGATCGAAAGCTTTTTCTAAATCCGTATAGACTACGTCTACTTGCCCCCCTCCCTCCATATGTCTAATAACAAAGTCAGAAAATATTGACAAATTTGATGTCGTTGATCGACCTTTTAAAAAACCATGCTATGAATGACGTATTCCATGCTCTATCACAGGGTAAATAAAGCTATAAATGATTTTCTCAAAGAGTTTGCTAACTACATTTAAAATTGAGATGGATGATGATGGATGAATGAGAGATTATGTCCAGCAGTGGACTGCAATAGGCTGATTGATTGATTTAAAATAAAGAAAATACGAAATAACAAAGAGTCAACACAAAGACAAATACCATCGCAAAGTATATTAGAACTTATCACTAACAAAGATAGGAAATGAAACTATTTTTCCATATTAAATCGCGTATATTTAACAAACCGACCGGTCGGTTTGTTTGAAAAAACAAATATACGCGATTTAAATCCGGAAAAATAGTTTCATTTCCTTTGTGTAACAATCGCGAAAACCTAAGAACTCGATACTAACAAACATATCAATAACAAATCACTTGAACTCTTCAATCGAATCCTAAGTATATCCACATACTTTACACTATAGGTGATGAAAAGGGCGGAATTAAATTGTGCAATTTCATCGCACACTCTCCGTGATATATCCTGCAGAATACCGACAAGCAGGCATTACGGCGATACTCAATGCAGTTCTTCAGTTTTGCCACTACTTCGTCTAACTTCTAAAACTGCCTCCGTGGCCGAACGGTTACTGTGCCGGACCGCAGACCACGCAGAGGTCCCAGGTTCGATTCCCGGGTCGGGAGAAATATTTGTATGGCCTACATTTATTTCTCCCGTGAGTTTGAGTGTAATAGTGGTTGTCTATGTGTCTGTCCATGGCACCCGCGACACAGGGTTTCCCTAGTGCGGGACTATGTTGAGTGTGTGCGTTATTATTATTATTATTACTCTAAAATGACTAGTTGTGCCGCTCGGTATCGATGCTGAGCCTCATCAGAAGTCTTACTCAGTTGTTAGAACGTTTTGGTCCTCACCTGATCTCCACTGTGCGAGCGCTACGCGCTAGACATTGCAGTAGACTGTTTGTGTAACTCCCGTGTTAACCAGAAGCCGCAAAACAGAAAAAGTCGGTGCCTCAAGGTTCTTGAGACGCTTGACACAGGTGTTATCGCAAACATACACATAGACTCCGGCACGAGGTAAAAACCTGTGTTCCAGAGTATGGTATTGAAGAGAATATATAATATAGGAGTAGTTCAGGTAGACTGTATCAGTCGGTCATCTGATCTGCATCTCGGTGAGGAAAAGCAGCCGAGGTTTGTTGGTTTTAAAGTCATAGGCCACCACGTCGAAACCTTCATAATAATAATAATGCATACTGAATAAATTTAGTATGCATTGATATTATAATGGTTTAATTAACTTACCCAATGGAGGCACACGTTCGCCAAGTTTCGATGCGAAAGTCTATACGTTTTCGCTCGAGTAGCTGTAAACGTGGCTCTCGACTTGCACGGCTCGTTAGATAAGTGTTGACGTATTCACTGTATTTTTGCGAATTTTGAATTCGGACAATTCACTATCAAAACTTACTATTCAAATAATACGTAAGGTAAAACGAATTCATGTTAAATTGTTTGCACTATTTTCCCGACTATTTATATAAGTGATACCACTTGTGTTTATAATTTGCCACCTCGTCTTAGTAGCTAACGCGCAGTTTTCTATAAATTAAAATCAAGAAAAAGGTCTAACGTGCACTAAAGCTTTTTTCAGGATCAGGTAAAAATACTAACAAGCCATGACACACGAAGAAGAAGAGAAAGACGACCACAAAAGCAACTAAAAGCCCAATATATCATCTCAAGTGTTTTATTTTTTCCTTTTTTCTTGATTTTTCCTTTCCAATGTCGATTATCCCATATTTTTTTACCAAACTCTGTCAAACCCAATAAATATTTTAAAAACCAAAACTTACCTAATGCCAAAAAGATATACACCTTCTGCATTTTTTATTATTTTATTAAAAGCAAACAAAAATATTGATGTATTTTATAAGTTTACTTTATGATTACTATGTACCTAAGCGTATATATATTATATAAGCTTGTCACACAGTAGTCCTCACAACGGCACTGGCTTTAAGATCATCAGTGTTGTGTTTTTATACTCATGCGAATCTCTTACCGTTCATGTACACACTAGAGTTTGATTATACATTATACGTGTCATTCATTATTTAAACTAAATTCAAACTCCACACACTCTTAAGTAAATGTACTTTTATACGAGAAACTGCATATATAGAGGGTGCGTAAAATTTTAGCTAAAATATATGTATATATTTACAATAAACTGGTGCTTGCACTTTTATTTTGCATGTATTAAAAGGAAAACTAATTTTATCACACTGTTGTCATTTTTATTTGCAATCGTATTCCCATTACTTTACAGTTAGCAAGATCACGGTCTATATGAACAATGAAATGTGTTTCGTTTATTTCCCCAAAATATCGCTGTTGTATACCTAGAACAGCACCGTGAACTCTAATTCAGAAATACAGACGCGTCTAAATAGGATGCCAGCGGTACACTCGCGCTACAAGTACTTATTTTAGATACTTAGGCGCACATTACCGCTCGCTTATCACCTTATATTACTTAGGCGCACATTAACCGCTCGCATAGCATATTTGTATTACTTAGCGTTGCATCTCGTACTAACACACATTTACGACCATTGTAAGACCCTTAGCGCATAAACGGGTGCCCATTTTGGAGGTATAGCGGCGCTGTAGCTGCTTATACATCTACTGTAGAGCTTGTTAATACAACCTATGCCATTATTAAGAACTTCTAACGGCGGCTTGTTATTAGACTGTACGGCTTGTTATTAGAGCTTGTGTGCTAGGTGGGATTACACATTAATTACGTTTGTTTGTGTTGGACAATCAGAAATGAAAATCTTATGTTTCATTACATCCCAAATATATCATATATTAATATAACTATTATGAATTAATTCGCCTTATGCCATTGGCATTGTGGTATGGTCCTCCATTTTATTATTTTTTACACTACAGGCATAATTTCAAATGATAACAATCACATAAGTGCCGATAAAGTTTGGAATATACTTGCTTAAAATGTCCCAATTCCAACGACTACCGTAGTCAAGCGGCTTGCGCACCGATTTCCATGGTGTCGCCATCTCTTAGGTCCCAGGTTCGATTCCCGGCCGGGTCAATGTAGAAAACTATCTGTTCTGCGTTGTCTCGGGTCTATAATTGTGTGGTAACCGTCTTCGTTGTTTCTGATTTTCATAACACAACTGCTTTAGTATGGTTTTAGTTAATTCCTTTGGGATCGGAACAACGTATGTGATGTTGTTTAATATTTATTTATTTATTCGCTCTAGACTATAAACGTAGTTCATTATTTAAGTGAAACAATCATCAAGAAAAACTACATAATATACATTAACTAACGTATACAATTAATATACAAATACAATTAATCAACGTATACATTTAAAATAAAACGATAGGTTCGTATACGCACACTAAAAGTATATTTCTGAAAAAAGCCTTTCCCCGTGCTCTCTCTCGCTAATCTATCATTCTTTTTCTATTTCTTTCCAATCACACCAATATCATTTAATATTGCTATTTTGTTCTTTAATTATGCTCAAGTCAAATCGGCAACTTAACTCACTTAAAAAAGGTTATAGTTATTGCAAGTAATAAACATTTTAAACTGAATAATTGATCTTAACTGAGTTTTAAAAATGAAAAAAATTATATATTTTAAATTTATTTTATTGTATTTATATTCAATACCTATTTGCCAAACATATTATATAAACGTATACTAAGCAAACATGGCACATTATAACCTAAAACTTTCTGAACAAGTAGTGATGCGCAGTTCAAGTTCTAAAGGACTAAAATTGGTTCATCGGCAGGATAGTATCAGTTAGGTACTGCTGCACTTCTGACAAGACAAGGACCTTGATACATTACTTGCACATCTGTAAAGAAAAATGTAGACCTTAAATTTACACGAAAACGCTAAAATAACATATGTTATAAAGTATTTGTTATGCATGTGTACGTGTGTGGTATACACATGATATTAATATAATGTACTATTGAATCAGGTGTAAGAAATCCACACGAGTGTCCGCACAATTTTGCACTTAATACAAGCACTTCGCAATCTCTTGGCATGTCGATCAGTCAGGGCAGGTAAAATTAAATAGTATGAGCTTATATCAACAGCTTGGGAATACCATTGATAACTGCTGGTCAACAAGTCACAATTTCAATTTCATTCAAATCAGTAGGAACATGGATTTTGAAGAATAAACCCTACTACTGCTACTTTTGTTCAGACGACGACGGCGGCGACGTAGAATTTGCTGCTGCGAAAGTGCGCGCGTGACGTGGAATGAAGAGTGCGGGCGGAGGTAACTGCGCGAGAGCAGTGACAGCTCGAGCAGTCAGTGTATACCTGGCGACTGCTTGACTGCACGATGAAATTTCACCGCGCTGCAAACCGCCCGAAACAACTGCTCGAGCGGTTTGGTGTATGTGTGTACATAGAAGACTGTAGTTTCCCATGCGGTCGCAAATTGAAGCTGTCGATACTAGCTGCTTCAAGCTGCCCGTATATCGCCGGCCTTAAAGTTTAGTGTAATGTGTAGTTGTACTAGATGACGGTAGATACTGCCTCAGGGTCTCACGGGTCGAGACTCGAGGCAGTATCGACGACGAAGCCACTGATTTTATGTTAGAATTCATTTTATTACAAACGAAATTGAAGCCATTTAAAAAATTTATGCCATTTAATATACGTGTTCTATTTAGTTCAGTTGATATTAAAAAACAAATGGTATATGTAAAGTACCTATTGAATTAGGCGGTTTTCTTTTAAAATTTCGAGGTAAATTTGTGTTTTTTTTAACTTGAAAATTTTTAGGAGTAGTGTTTTCACACCGTACACTCATCAGTGTATATCCTCAATTTTACTATGTATTTTTTCCAAAGTGATTAATTCAACACTTTCACTGTTACGCGGAATCAACCAAAACTATTTGAGGTTGTATAGACTCTTAAGCAAAAAAAAAGTTATAGACTTTCATTCGTAGAATCAGTAAATCTCTTTTGAAAAGTTGCCCTTTCGCAGATGTAACCTTGACCAAGGGTGTGAATTTTTAATATCACTGGTGGTGGTAGGATTTTCTGAGCCCACCTACCATTATCCTGTATATTAATTATATCTGCCATAGAAGCAGCACGCTGTGTTTATACGCAGCGAAAGCCACTAAAATTACAGACGCAAGATACTTAAGGCCCTCAACATTTACAATATCAAAAACACTTCGCAAATATTTTATTTGAGCCTATATTATCTATAGGCTTCGGTAACCAACTTTTATAAGATGGACCGTCTGACTGTTTGTAGGTTTTTTTTTTATTATACCTAGTGACGGGACGAATCAATCGCACTCCTGGCAAGCGTCACGCCTCCCCATAACAGTTGCAGTGCCACTCAGAGCTTTAAATCACAAAGATCTGAGGGGCACTGCCACTGCACCCGTCACTCTAAGATACAAGTTGACAAGTCCCTGCAATTTATGCCTGTAATTTTGTATACCACCCACCCACCAAAACTGACCAGAATTGAAGCAGCTTTAACTAACTTCTTTAATCTATATTATTAATCATGTATTTCTCCACAAGAATCTGGATAATTTTCAGGTTAATTTTCTGTACCTGATTTCGGTAGAAATTTTTATTATTTAAATATTCTAGAATATTACCATGAAATATTACTTCATATTCGAGTGTAGTATCCTGAAATATCATTAAATAGATCACGATAATATAATGAAAATCGTATACTTAAATAATAAAAATTGCCACAGACATTAGATTGAGAAAACAATCCTGGAAATTACTCATGTAGATCAGAAGAAAACCGACTTTATTACTACTTACCAACTCCACAGTTACGAACGCATTCCAGTCGTTGTACACTGAAATACATTTTGAAGTCAGTGCCACAGACAGGTCTGTAGTCAGAAGGAACTGGACACTTCCTGATGCACTCATTCACTGCTGTGATATCCTTCCTGTTTCAATTGACAGATTAAGATTTAGCTATGATATATTAAACAATTTATAGCTACCCTTAGGTAATTTTCAGATTACTGTACTCAACCTAATTACGGTGACAATTTTTATTATTTGAATATTCTAAAATCTTATCATTTAATATTCGAATGTAATAACTTGAAAAATAATTTAATATTTCACGATAATATACTCGAATACTTAAATATTGTAAATTGCCACCGTAATTAGGTAGAGAAAACTAAGTGAAAATTACCCAACTAATTCGTTACTTTCATTGAAATTAATGACTATGAAGAAACAATCATTATTTGTATGATTATAATAGTTAGCAGAAATGTACAGATTGGGTAAATTAGTTAATTATTTTCCGTTTTTGATGCTTTTCAAGTACCTATTTTAGCTTAATAAAGGAATTGAATCTATATACACAAATAAGTTTTTCTGACATTTTAAATTACTAATTACTTAAGTCTTAATCCTTCAAACATTAATAAATTATAAATACTTGCCACGGCCTTCTCGTTGTAGTTGATGTGCTACTTGATTGTCGGCTACCACACATCCCGCTATATGCCTCAGTTACTTCTGAAAAAATTAAACGTACACTATTGACTGATTACATTGGGGTATTTTCCACCAAATCAGCCGTAATTAATCTGATTGTAGAATAAGCCTTACAAAAAAATAGGGATTCGTAGAATCACTCAAGCTAGTTTATTTTTTTATTTTTTTCTTTATTTATTTATTTATTTCAGGCAACTAGGACCCATAGATACATACCTTACAGACTAACATACATATAATATAACAGAAATATTAAATAAATACCTTACGGACTAATTATAAATACAATATAACATGATAATATACATATAACACTATTTATTTACACGTATGTACTTCGATGTGTGACGCAACGTGGGTGTCCGGTAGCCGTCCTCGGAAACGCCGGTACATGCCACCCTTCGGCCAAAAGTCTTCTCTCATGAAGGTCGACAGGTGTTGAGTCGGTACTCGCACCACAAATGAATTAAAATTCACATTGTGGCGCGACTCCAACCGCTCGACCCTCAGGTTTGCGTTGGCCTTCACTCGCATGTACTCCACAATATCCGCAGACTTGATGGAGTAATGAAGACGCGACACGTATAACAACGTCGTCGGTACCGCTGGACGCAATAAATGATTCGGGCCACTCAGGGCGGTGCCACTAAGGTTTCTGTTAGTGTTCTTCTTTTTCTTTTCCACCTTCCGAAAGCCGTCCTCGTCGCACTGATCAACTCGTCTCGTTGGTACTGACGACGCAGCTCCAGATACGAGTTTATTTTTCGGTTTTCCCGTCATTGGTTGCCTGGGTTGTGGTTGTGGAGTACTAGGTCGGGCAGCGACAACAGCTGCGTAATCACGTGGAGGGGTCGTCTCCGGCGGGGCGGGGTGCGGGGAAACGCGCGCGGCAACAGCGCCAGAGGTCGGTGACACATGCATGTGAGCCGACTCAAAACTGCTGAAAGAAGCATTTTGCGCCCCGCGACAAGTGTTCACGTTGCAGGCCTCAGGTGACCTACTTACCGAAGCCGCACTACTAAGTAATACAACTTGGGCACGCAACTCACTGATGGTGTTGTCTGAGGCCTCCAATTTACACTGAACTTAAGCAAGGCTTGCTTTTAGGGACGTGATGTCCTTCAGCAGCCTGGTGACGTCGACGTGGTCGAACGTGACAGGGGGCAGCTTATGCAGGTCCTTCGCCACGAATGCAGGCACGTCGTCTGGGTCGGTCTCCTTGAACAACGTAATGATGTCCTGGAGACTCTTCGCTCTTCCATCTCTCCGACGAGACGGCATCTGCTCGGCTTTGCCAAACGTCCGGAAAAGCAGCGCCTTGCCACTGCAAATCTCTTCTTCTTTGAAATTTGACTTGCAGACCTGCACGATGCTGACTTCATCCATGGTATCTATGGCGTGTTGTATAAACGCCAACAGTTCGTTGGCTATGAGTTGCTGAGAACCCATAGTTAATTACGTGCAGCGGCTATTGCCGCGCGGGTCGCGAATTATTATAATTCTTATTGTGCAGTGGAGCACGTCCGAATCCGAGCGTGCACCGCACCGCACTGATCTAGAGCTAGGTGATCGCTTTTACAATTAAATGTACTAGGATCTGCTTCCTAAAAATGATACGGGTGTACTAGCCGCGTTTACCGTCTTCCTGTGGAAAAGGGCTGTAAAAACGAGTCTAGATACTTACTAACACCACAAAAAGCAGCACATTCCAATCGTCCAGGGTTGGCATAGGTGACGCCGTTAGAGCCGCACTTAGGATTGTATTCAGACGTTACCGGGCAGTTTTGCACACACCGCGCTGTTTCCCTGGGGAAAAAATAGCTATAATGAAAAAATATCATTTAGAAACAAAAGCGTTTGTAAAAAAAATCGAAGGCACAGACATAGCCGTATTTTAGACTTGATCAATTTTCAACACACTTTTTATATTGCCATTTATGTTTTGACTTTACATCGACGTTTGTTTGAAATGACGTCGCATATTTAGAACAACCTTTGTGTTACTTATTTTGTTTTTATACCGCTTATGAAAAGCTAGTTTCTCAAGGTAATACAAGAGTTCGGTGTTGCGATCAAATACAATTGGACACATCTGGTACATTGATTATTATTAAGTCGTTTCAGTGTGGTGCCATTGTTTTTTAATATTTATTTTTGAACTTACTCGGGGTCGATTATTTGTGTTGTAGATGTCACCGTGGTTGATTCCGCGCATTCGCCGTTTGATACGAAATGTACCTCTGAAATACACATAGAAATTGAAGTAAATATGGAAAAACACGTATTAACATACAAAGTAATTTATTGTTCAATAACCACTGAAAATTTACTTTACATTACATTATTATAAAGGTAACAAAAAGGAAGATCGACAACTCTGTCAAAAATATCTGATTGCCTTTTTTAACCGCCTTTTTTTCAACAAAAAAGGAGGAGGTTCTCAATTCGACTGTATTTTTTTTGAACCGATATCGATGATTCTTTTCTTGTTCAAATAAGGTTACCTCAGTATTGGTCCCATTTAAATTTGAAGAAAATATTCCACCTCTATGGTGGTTATAAATTCGGTTTCGCGGACTTTCCGGTAACCGATTTCAATAAAACTTGATATATATGTGATATATAGATATGTGAACTGATTTCGACGACTGTGTTTTTGCTGAAAAGTGGTACCTCTGTTTCTGTTGAAAAAAAAATATCGATGTCTCACTTTCTCAAACTCGTATCTTGTTCAGGAGATTTTTATTAAATTGATATTCAATATTTTTTTGTAAAATTACTCCACTAATTTGTTGTAATTATGAATACAATAAATAATTATTGTGGAGACGACAAAACTTTCTATTTATTTTAAATTTCTTATCAACGGTGTTAATTTGGATGCGTTACTTTAAGAATAGATAAAAACCAGTGTGTAATTACGAAGGATGTAAAAGTAAATGTGGAAATGTGAAGTAAAATCAGCCTGCAAAATTTGTGCAATCCATTTTGTTGCATTTCAGTAACTGTGCTTTAAGATACACGTTTGAGAAAGTATATTCCATCTCTAAGGGTGGCAAATTAGGGGATGAATCCAGTTTATTGAATTTTAGTCGCTTTCCGTTAACCGATTTTAATAAAAGTTGACACACAGATGTAATTCCAATGAAAATAAATATGATAAATAAATATGGCGACCTAAAGCTGATCCGATAATGGAATTGGCAGTCAGATGAGAGGAACTTCCCAATAATGTACAGCAGCTACCTTGTGATTTGGCTCATATGATGCGGTTTCATCAGGACTCCCATATGCATTTCAGTTATCGTTGAGGAGACCGAAGCGACGAACGCAGAGTAAGCGGAAGTAAACTTTTGAAGTCGGTTTTTTCTTCATATAAAAGTTATAATTTTACTTACTTAAGTTGCAAAGTTACTTACTAATGTCACAAAAATGAGCACACATAAAATGCCCCGGATTTTCATAAGTGACGCCATTAGAACCGCAGACGGGATTGTGCTCGGTAGTTACAGGACATTTCTTGATGCAATCACGTACGTCAGCTGGTAATTCCCTGAAAATATTTTATCACAATAATGTAAATCACAAACTGGGGAATTTTGAGTACTAGAGTAACGGAATCTAATTTTTTTTATTTCACTTGCATATTGTTTAAATTATTCTTATTGATCTTTTTTTCTTTTATATTATTATTAAAGATTACTTTTGTCTCTACTTAAATGATAATATAAAATTTAATTTTATTTAAAGTTTATTGACCTTGTTGTTACTCTGTGTTTTGTAGTAAGGTTGTTAATTAAGACACGGAGGAACGCTGGATCTCATGTCAGAGGTTATCTTACTTAGAGAGTAGGGAATATATCTTGTAATATTCTAACCCTATCCTAGTTTTAATGTTTTGCTGTGAACTAACGTGTGGAAATAAATACATACATTATTATGAGACCAGAACAAATTTATAAAAGTTCTTTCGCAAATTGACCCTACCGGGAATCGAACCCAGAACCCCTCATATGTAAACCGTTGGGCCACCGAGGTTGACAAAACAATCTTCACTTTATATTTCAGGAAGATTAAAAAGTTTTTTATAAGATAATGTCCATCCTCATACCAATGTGCAATTGTGCAATAGAAGAATTTTTGAATGACAAAGACATATGATTCCCTACAACAGTAATAATAAGAATATTAATTCATTAAGATTATTTCATTTTGTCAAGATGTTTTGTTTCTTATTTTTGTTATTATCTTACTTGCTACTCATTTATAAATAAACACTATTTTAGTGCCACTTTTTAGCTGCTCTTACGAATTTTGCGGAATCAACATTTTGAAGACCCAATATCAAAATTAATTATTTATAATAAGCAGTTAGTTATAATAAAACATTTTATAACTAACTGCTATTAATTAATAATACTATTAACAGGCTTTAATGGCTGAGATACTGTCAGAAAATTCGTGAAGGAAATGATGGTCCTCAACAGTGAGGAAACGTGAAGTGGAAGTGAAAAGTGGAAGGGTGGTTGTGACAATAACATACGTGGTCGTGATGATTGGAGTTGCTGTTGTAGTGGTAGTGGTGGTGGTGGTAGTTGAGTTTAGCGGGCATCGCCCTTCGGACACCATTAGCACATCTGAAACAAAAGCGAAGGTCTGGAACAAAGGCTCCCAAACTTTTCTTATCTGGTAGACCACGTGTCATTTTTTTCTGTTTTGTATAGACCTGCCTTTCTAATATTAATTTTTGGTATAAATTCATCCACCTTAAATGTGATAACTGACACAGTTCTAATGAGATGAGAAACTTTATATAAAAAAATCCAACCATATAACTTATAAAAAATATCTTGCTTATTGTGAAATCCTTAAATATTTATAATTATATTTATATTATATGTGTATTATGAAAAACTATCAGACGGAATGTTTTTTTTTAATGGGACAGTATAGAAGATACAAGAAAATGTCTTAGAAATCATTAAGACCTGCATTGTTTTGGCAAAGTCGATTTTTTTGTCAAGCGTGAGTTGTTCATAAAAATAATCACAATACAGAGTACTAAAAAACCGGCCTCAACAGGCATGCATTTCCTAGTTTGCCACCCTTTGAGGTGGAATATTTTCTTCAAATTTAAATGGGACCACTATTGAAGTAAAAGAATCATCAAAATCGGTTCACAAATGCTGTAGTTATCGCGTAACATATACTTGCAAAAAAAAACATAAAGACGAATTGAGAAGCTCGTCCTTTTTTTGAAGTCAAAATGATTTTTTTCAGTGCTGATTGACTCAGTTTCATGATGGGATTATTTCATTGTATGGACAGCAGAAGTTGGTCAAATTTTATAAAATAATCTTTGATGGTTTCGAATTTCCCCATACTGTCTCATTTAAAAAAAAAACACTGTATATTTACATGTCCTAATCTACATGTTCTTTTTATGATCCCAAGTGACGTGACGAACAAGTTGTGCACCTGGTGGTAAGCGACACACCTGTCTATAGTAGTTGCAGTTCTTAAACCGCAAAGGTCTGAAGGGCACCGCCAACGCACCCGTTACTCTGAGACTTAAGTTGACAAGGCCCATGTGCCTCTAAATTCACCAACACCTTTACCGTTCAAAAGCGGAACGCCGTAATGGCAGTAATTCCCTGGACGAAGTTCTTTATTTAGTAGATTAGTAGCAGTAGAGCTACTTTCACAAGGAGCTCTACTGCTACTAATCTACCTACCAACCCAAGAAATAGGGTTTTCCGGACAGACTACGGGCTGGACGGCAAGACCCTCTATACCCGATATGCTTTCACAGGCGTCTCTGGTGGACCCGGACTTGGGTATGGACTCGTGTTGTGGTGTGCTGCAGAGATGGACATGTTTGTCTGCCCCGGTTGCATGCGAGAGGGACATCAGTCTCATGAGACTGATGTCCCTAATGATGACGCTACTAAGACGCACTAGTTGCACATGTGCAACCAGTGCGTCTTAGTAGCGGTCTGATTGAGGGCCTAAAGCGAAAAGACGCGCGGGACACGTGAGTTGGCCTTTAAGTTGGAAGCTATGTCCGGACATTGTCGCAGGACATTGCGACTGGCATTTCCGGCACTAGCCCGGAGAGCTAGTAGAGGATAAGCTAGATATCCTCCGGTCTTTCCAGACGCTTAGGTTATTGGGAACTGGAGAGACGTCGTTTTTTCGGCGTCCGGAAGTGAGCGTGCCTTACAATTCCGCAACCAATGAAGAGATTTGGTAGTGGACTTTAGAGTTGACCGTTTAGCGGTGGCAATAGCTAGTTGTGCAATGCCCAGCGGGAAGTGAGCGTGCCTATAACTCCGGTACCTATCTGGAAAATAGGGAGAGCTGGCTGATCTGAGGTCAGAACCTGAACTTATAAGGTTCCTGTGCGCGCACAGGTTATAGTGCCCTTCTCATATACCCTAAGAGTAGTGTGTAATGTAGAAAGATATGGGGCTGCTACTGACATAGACTATTCCATTGATGAAAAGCCAAAATTTTGTTAATTTATGTATTTATGCAAATTTAATTAGTCGATGTAAACCACTTTGGGAACCATCGATCTAGAATATTCTTACCGTCATAAGGTTCTTCTTTTTATTATGATATGATCTTTTTATTATGATATGACGACATCGTAAGGTATGTCAGTTAAAGACATAAAGTATTGAATGAACTTACCAGTCCCACATTTTCTGGCACACATCAAATAACTAGGATTACTGTAGGTGATTCCGTCAGAGCCGCAAATAGGATACAAATGCGGTGACACTTTGCATGTCTTTAGACACTTTAGCTTATCGTCGACAGGGTTCCTGTAAAGAAACGGGGACCTATTGCACTTTGTCTTTTAATTTTGTTTTTAAGCCACGCAATTTCTTTATGTGGTCGTAATATAGAAAATTGGCTTGCATTGAAGATATTTTTTGTCACTTCGTAAAAAGTATGTTGTTGGATATTAGAATGGATGTTCGAAAGGTAATATTTTCATGAGATTTGTTTAAAATTCATGAACCATTGCCATAATGCTTTGAGATCGAAAACGGTACACATGTGTCCACTGAAATTATATCATTGATCATATAGTAGTAAATCGAGATGAATTTGAATTTTAGTAAAAACTAAAATAAATAATATACACTATTTTATTCTTTGACCTACCTAGATGTTGTTGTAGATGCTTCAGTAGAGGTTACCACAGACGTGGGGCATCTGCCGCGTCTGGCCAGGACCACATCTTTTCAAAATTAAAATGGAAAATCAATATCATTAAAAATTGTGTAGCGTTGCATTAATACATTGAAAACCGTACAGAGTTTTGAAAAGAAAATAATGCACTAGTTATTATCACGTATTACCAGATGAACAGTCTGAATAATTGCCAGTGTGTTTTCGGTTCAAAAGGAATAATATGCCAGTCAGAATTCAGATACCATCATATTATAAAAGCAAATCTCAGAAATCATGTACCGTGAAAAAAGAAATAAAGCAAAATCAACTTACTGACGCCACAAGAACGAGCACATTGCATTTTGCTAGGATTTTTATAAGTGACGCCGTCCGTGCCACACACAGGATTGTACTCTGGGGTTAAGGTCGGACACTTGTGTATGCAATTTTGAATAGACTGGACTGTATCTCTGTTGAGGAGAAACGTAGATTATTAAGTTAATGCTTAATTAAATTTCAAAGCAATAAAGAAGTATTTATATGTACATATATAGGAAATGAAGCTATTTTTTTAGACGCGATTTTGATCCAAAAACATTGTTGCATTTCCTATGTGTAACAAATGCGTAAACTTAAGAACTCAATATTTATATAATACAATACCATTTATATGAAGAGGTATATTTGGCCAATAATACAATTCAGCAGATGATCATAAGAAAAAACGGTAACTCATAGCTACAAAACAGAAACGTCTATTTTTTCCAGATTGCCGATACGACTAATAAATTTACTAAGAGCAATTACACATGGCGATTTTAGCAGCGATGCAAACGCGATGCAGTAGCGATGTAGTCGCTAATCGTCTACCTTTACAGACGCGCAGGATTTTAAACAGCGATGCAAACGCGACGCAACCGCGCGACTGCATCGATAGAAATGCACGATTGCATCGATGCAATCGCCTATAAATCGAAAATGTAGTGATTTCGACGCAAAAAGTCATCGTGTGTAATCATTCTAATTGATGTAAATGACGTATCATATTAAGACATCGTTTATTTTCATATTATAAAACTTTCGTATTTAAGATTTACTTACGGAGATTGTGAAGTTGGGCTCTGTGTGATCGGATTATCGCAGGGTCCAGACGATACCTTCTGGACGTCTGTATAAAAAACATAGATATTTGTAAAATTGTCTGGAAAAGGAGCCTGTGAGATATATTCATAATGTCCCATTGCCCAAAGCAAATGAAATAGAGTAAAATAGTCTTATTACACTTTACATTTTTATACTTATTACATTTTTTTATATTACAACTGCCTCCGTGGCCGAACGGTTACCATGCCGGACTGCCACGCAGAGGTCCCAGGTTCGATTCCCGGGCCGGGAGAAATAGTTGTATGGCCTACAATTATTTCTCTCGTGGGTTTGGGTGTAATTTGTGGTTGTCTATGTGTGTGTCCATGGCACCCGCGACACAGGGTTTTCCCTAGTGCGGGGCTATGTTGAGTGTGTGCGTTATTTATTATTTATTTATTTATTTCAGATTTTCGTAATAAATCTTGTAAAAATTTCAGTAATACATTCCGTATTGTTACATATTGACTGCCCGTATCTAGATGAGAAAACGGTAGTTTTTTTTTTCTTGTCTTCTATATTAAAATTTGTATTTCCTTTGTTTTGACAACCTCCGTGACTGAATGGCTAGTACACCAGTTTTCATGGTATTACCATAACGGAGGTCCCGGATTCGATTTCCGGCCGTGTCAATGAACTAACTTTTCTATATTGTCTCGGGTCTGGGTGTTTGTGGTCCCGCCGTTGTTTCCGATTACCATAACACAAGTGCTTTAGTTACTTACTTTGGGATCAGATCATCGTGTGTGAGATTGTCCATTATTTATTTATTTATTTGTGTAATGCCACATAAATGTAATGAACAGACAGTAGCTAAATAAATAGTTAAATAAAAGTTACTTGCTAAATTCTTTCAAACCTGTAACTCACTGACACATATTGCGAATTTAGTCATTATGCAACTAACTTAAAATTTATGTTAAAATTATATTATAATTTATATAAAAATTTTGAATAGGCGCTTACCAAAACCACAGTTCTTCGCACACTCGAGATGACCAGGATTGGCATATGTTTTGCCATCGGAACCACAAACAGGATCAAATTTTTTTGTAATTTTACACTGTCTCAGACATTTGGCTTTTTCTGCTGGGTCTATCCTATATTAAAAATAATAATATTATTCTTAGGAACGGGAATTCATTTCTACAGACACAGATAAGAATATTAAACACCAATTTCTGCAATACCCGCTATATTATTGTAATAAAATCTTTTAAATACTGTAATTATTATAAGCGCACAAAGCAATATCATAGTAGGAAGTGCTTCTGTGTTTCAACTGTCACAATAGTTCATCTTGTAAGAATAAGTAGGTACTTCATCGGAAGAATTGGTAATTAAATTACAAATGATATTTATTTAAGAAAATCGCTAGTTTTTCGAACAAAATATTACACAGTAATAACAAAAATATTGATACACTAAATATGCATGCTACACAAATCAGACTTGGCATACTGTCCTGCCTTCGCGCCACTTCCAGCGGCTTCGCCAGCCGTCGCCGACGGCAGCTGCGGAATTCTCGCTAATGCGCGAACATTCTCGAGCATGCGCGAGATTTCCGCGGAAGACGCGAGACGTGATTTTTGGCTCGTATCTAATTTGTTCGTTACACAATTGACCATAAAGTTCATTACGTTATGTTACAATATCGTTACAAAAGTTCGCTTGCATTCCGTTCCGCTGCAACATAAATTGAGCCTTCAACAGCATCGCCACATTTTTTCACGGGCGAACGCAGTATGTTCGTTTCATAGTTTGTTGTGCATAAAAGACGAACATCCGTAAATTTGTCCTTGCACTATAACAGTTTTTGAATATAGTGTTATAATAGGGCAGATATCTAAGTCATATCCGCTCTTTATCCATAACATGTAGTGGCAATTTTCCGTTACGACAAACGGGTTTTGAAAGACTTGTAGGTGTTTCGAATAAACAGATAGGTAGAGATTCGTCAAGTGGTATTTCCTTCGCAATAAAATGATTTTCCAATAAAATGGCGTAATCGCCCTTTCTACAAAACACCGACGGTATGATATGGTGTAAAAATAGTATCGAAATATTGTATATTTTTAATACTATAGAACTTATAATTGTTATAACAAAGACCTTACAAATCTTTCTATATGAAAATAATTGAAAATAATGATAATAAAACATACATTCAAAAAACTTAAAAATAACTATACAACTTTCCTATTTAAGATTTACTTACGGGGATTGTGAAGTAGGGCTCTCTGTGATCTGATTATCGCAGGGTCCAGCCGATACCTCTTGAACATCTGCATAAAAAACAAAGATAAATATAATCTTGTACTGCAAAGAAACCTACGAGACACATTCCTAATGTCACATTGCACAATTATTTTCTCCTTTATCAAGTATATAACCATGATAAAATTTCTTATGAAACGGCCACAAATTAATGAGTAGTTCAATTTTTATTTATGTTTTTAAAACCATATTAAGCATATACCCAACATTTCTTATGAACCGCCCACAAATGAATAAGTAATTAAATTATTATTTTGGACTTTAAAACTTTTCCTTCAACTCCAAATTTTGGGAATTTAGCCATTGTGCAACTGACATACTTATGAACACCTACCATAACCACAGTTCCTTGCACACTTTAGTTGACCGGGATTGACATATGTTTTGCCATCGGAACCACATACGGGGTCAAAATTTTTCGTTAATTTACACTCTTTTAAGCATTTTGCTTTTTCTGCTGGATCTTTCCTGTATAATAAATCAAATTATTAATCTATTAGTGGGAATCATTTGAGAACAACTATACTTATTATAGAAAATTCAATACGCTTATAAGTTTTCATAAAGAAATTTTGTATCACGGATGTCACGGACACACATATAGACAGCCACAAATTACACCGAAACTCACAAGAGAAATAAATTAAGGCCAGGCCACGTTGGCGTGGCAGACCAGCTTGGTAACCGTTCGGCCACGGAAGCAACTTTATGTGCATGTAGTTTATGATAGGGATATCAATAACCATCGATGGCTTTGTCACTTTATAATGTAAGATTATTGTCCATCACGAACATTTGTGATATGTGACGTGATAAAAACCACTTACATTGGGTCTACAGTAACCGGAGTAGGGGAACTAGGAGAGATTGTAGGTCTAATTGTAGGTCGCGCTGTAGGACACGGTCTTTTCCTACACGGCTTGAACTTAGAAAATCCATTGTCTGGTTTCTTAAATCGTTCATCAATGTAGTCCGCAGGGTATTCATCATCTGATCGTATTTCTTCATCATACACAATTTCGCTTGTATTATTGTCTTTGTTAAACATGTTTTCATGACTGTCAACTAATACTCGTTCAGGATCTTCAGCATCTGATCGTATCTCTTCATCATATACAATTTCGCTTGTACTATCGTCTTTGTTAAATATGCCTCCATTGCTGTTAACTAATTCTCCTTTGTCTCTAAGTGACTTGGAATTAACTGTTACGGCTATGGCTAGAAAGAGAGTATCTGTGTGATTCATCTTTAAACGATTTTTTAAACTGTACATTATAATAGACTGATGATATCAAAAAATTTACAGACTGCCTGGAAAACCCAAAAGCCCAATTCAGCACAGCTATACAAAGGGGAAACGCTGCTAGCATCTAGGCACCTTGCCGAGGAGACCCAATTTTATTTATTATAAATATAAATTGTCCTTTCCTGTCAAAATGGACTGAATAAATAAAATAATAATAACTCACCAAAAATTATGACAAAACAGAATTTCTCCATTTCTTTTTTATTTTCAGAGCGACAAATCACACACAACGTTTGAAAGCAAACTGACCTTTACAAAATTACGAAACCCCTATTAACGTTTTCTTCTTCACAAGTAACATTAATTACATAATGGTTGTACATTACAAAATGAATTGTTAAATCTATTTGTATTTAACCACAAAACTGTAAAGATAGGGAATAACCAGTTGGTAGTAATGACTAAAGCATTTCGTTAATGATTTGATTAATAAACAGCTTTAGAAACAAAACAGTTTGGGAAATAATGGTTTAGTGAAAAGAAATTGAAGTAAAAATATCAATGTTTATTTTTATTTACATAAGATAATGGCTATGTTAAGTAAATCCACATAATTATGATCCTTATTTCTTATAAATAATTAATTAATTCGTGTACATTTTGGCTTGGTTGGTACAATATGATTTGACGTATTTCCTGTTCTTGCCTCTCTTTGTCCATTTATTTACACGTCATGATATCCATGGCCAAATTTTGGCTCACAACGTGAGATCCATATTTAATAATCATTAATAGTAGCAAATTTGTAAAAAAGTAATTTGCATTTACTACAAATTGGATTTCAATATTTTCATGTAGAAACATTTTGACTGATAGACGCTTTATTGCTCACCATTCCCATCTTTACTATCGTAGGTTAATTTAGCTCTCGCGACATCCACCTTTCGACATTAATTTAACATCTGTAAAGAAATGTTCATATTAAATTGACGCCAATCGAATATTGACGCGGATTGGAATATTTCAATTCTAAGTGGAAAAAGCTCCAAATTAGAACCACAATTACTTCCAAACTCAAGAGAAAAATAAATGTAGGCCACAAATATTTCTCCCAACCAGAGAATCGAAGCCGGGACCTTTGCGTGGCAGTCCAGTATGGTAACCGTTCGGCCACTGAGGCAGTTTCACAACAAAGCGTTTGTTTACTTAATCAATAGATTCTTCGGAGTACAAAACCCTGTCCTCACTCTAATGGGTCCCAGCGTCTATTCCTTGTACAAAATCTTTCGTCAACGTATACAAGTCGTGCGCCTGATGGTAAGCTACACGCCTGTTCATAACAGTTGCAGTGCCACTCCAGAGTTTTAAGCCGCAAAGATCTGAGGGGCACTGCCACTGCGCCCGTCACCCAGAGACATAAGTTGACAAATTCCATGTGCCTGTAATTTCATCAGCTCAAATTTCATCTCTTCCTTCCATTATCGTGTTTACAGAAATAGTGTAAGTGCCACTTACTAACTCCACAGCTCCTGGCACAAAGAAGTTTACCGAAGTTACCGTAGGTGACGGCGTCACTGCCACACACGGGATTGTACTCGGATGTCACTGGGCAGTTGTTCATGCATTTGTTTAAAGAGTTTGATTCACCTCTGAAACATTAACATACTTTTAGATAATAATTATTTCACTAAAAAAATGTCGTTGTTACTAAAATAGATATATTTTTTTACGTATTTTTATTTATTTTATTTATTTATTTATTTATTCAAAACTTAATCTATTCTTACAGGTATGTACCCAATACAATAGACTAGCAATATTAATTTTATTACTAAATAATACTAAGTAACAATATCATTACTTAATACTATAATATAAACTATATAATACATAATTACCCGTAACATAAAATATACAATGCTATCTTTGTGAACTCACTGTGAGAACAATGGAACAGATCGATCTTGACCGATATTTTGTTTAGGGTGCACAAAGTACGAGTCAGCGGACACTCATTCATGAGGTTGGTCCTCCCACGTGGCACAGCCAGCAACGGAGGCTGGTGACGTCGTTCCACGTAATTATTAGGAACACATAATCCTAACACTCCTAATAATCTCGGATTATGTAGCCTACCTCTGAATACTTTCAGCACGTACACTGCCAATGCCAAGTCCCTGCGCACATGCAGCTTATTGTATCCTACCATTCCCAGAATAAACAAAGTGGGATACTTCAGGGGATAGTAGGGGTAAACACCATATTGCCTCAAGTACAGGTATCTTATAAATTTGTTTTGAATGCGCTCCAGCATAAGGCTGTATTGGACTTGATGCGGAGCCCACACTACTGCATTACACTCGAGGAGGCTTCTTACAAGTGCGTTATACAGCACAACGATAGCTTTAATGCTCGTAAACCCGTGAACCCTACGTAGAACTAGCCCTAGATTTCTGTAAGCTTTTCTACATACAATAGAAATATGCTCCCGAAACGTTAACTCTGCGGTAAGTAATACTCCTAAATCTTTAACCTCCGTCACTCTTTTCATAAGTACCGTGTCTACATTATATTCATAGAGAATGGGATTACGAACTCTAGTAAATGAAATCGAAACGCATTTGGAGATGTTAAACTGAAGCTTATTTACCTTACTCCATGCCACCACTCTGTCTATATCGTTTTGGAGATGCACACAGTCGCTCTTTTCTTTGACTGACCTAAACAGTTTGAGGTCGTCCGCGAACAGTAAACAGCTAGACCCATTAATTATCTTTGGTAAATCATTAATCATTATAATGAATTGCAGAGGTCCAAGATTACTTCCCTGGCTCACTCCAGATCTAACTAAGTATGGTTGTGATCGGTAACCTGCATACTCAACGTATTGCTGCCGACCCTCCATGTAACTTGCTAAAAATTTTAATAAGCGGGGAGTACAACCAACACCAGCGAGCTTCCTTAATAGTATATCATTATCCACGACGTCGAATGCTTTACGAAAATCAAAATATGCGGCATCAATCTGCCCTCTACTTGCATCTACTACTGGCACAATTTCCGTCATGAAATTGAGAAGGTTGCTTGTGGTACTACGACCTGGACGAAAACCGTGCTGCGCGTCCGAGAGTTGCGTATTCACCTGATCAAAAATATTTTTTTGTATAGCTGCTTCAAATGCTTTAGCTGCTGTTGACAATACCGCCACTGGCCTATACCCGTCAATAGATAATCCTGAACCACTTTTTGGGACAGGAACCACTCGTGTAATTTTCCAGTTATCCGGAAATACCCCTAACTCTAAACACTTATTATATACATACAATAATGGCTCAGCAAGTACACTACGACAGTCTTTAAAAATATAAGCCGGAATTCCATCAGGGCCAGCTGACATCTTTGATTTAAGCTTTGCAAGAGATCTCTCCACATCAAACAACAAACTCCACATCTATATGTATTCTTGCAGACCCATTTTCGCTGCCCGCCTCTAATATTGCACTATTTACATCTAGTTGGGCCGGCTCCGTACTATATACCGATTGGAAAAATTCAGCAAACTCTTTAGCGCATTGTTCCCCCGTTAAAACGACCCCATCTTTTAAAATAACTCGGGGATTTCTACTGCCTCTTTTTGATCGTATATAATTCCAAAAACACTTAGGTTCGTCCACCAAATGTTTTTGTACCCTATGCTGGTGTCTCTCAAGAGCCCGCCCGATCATCTTTTTAACACGAGCCCTACATAAAGAAAACTCTGCATAATCGACTCGCGATTTACTTGCTCTGTACCGTTTATGAAGAAGGGCCTTTAGCTTAATTTCACGAATAAGTTCAGCTGTATACCACTCAGGGTACACATACCTTGACCCTATAGACATGTTCTTTTTAACTGGTACAGAAACATTAATAACTCTATTGATATTATCATAAATAAGTCGCAAAATAGATTCTAAGTCGCCCAACTCGTACAACGGGCCCCAATCGATAGAAGACAGCAAGTGGTATAAGAATAGGTAGTTAGCCTTACGAAAGTTCCACTGAGGTTGGCCCTCATAGGTATTTTTTTGTTGTACCGAAGCTGCTGCGCCACCGCCGACCAACGCAACCGATATATCAAGCGGTGGATGGTACGCGTCAACCTTTACCAGTGACTCACTCGCCGCACGCACAGTGACACCCTCACCTAATGTGGTCAGCACTAAATCTAGTTGACGATCGTTGCAGTTCGCTACCCCATTTCTCTGAGTGAATCCACAGTATGATTTAAAAAACTCAAAATAATGACTAACTACTGCTGGGCAGGAGTATAAATTAAAATCACCTAAGACTACCATTTCATTATACAAGACTGAGATATTTTCTATTAATTTAAATAACAACATGTAGTCATTTTCAGTACTACGTGGCGGTATGTAAATAACGCAACACAAAAACAGAAATCTGTTGCCTAAATATACTTTTGCTAAGACGCACTCAAACACATAATTTTCAATAATAATGTCACCTGGTGTAGGAACGCTCCTCAGCTCGATGCGCGGTGTGGCCACTAAAAACGCGCCGCCCTGTTTCCTTCCGTCTGTGCGGTCACTTCGTATTATTGTATATCCTGGTGGAATTAATTCTGCATCTTGGATAGAGCAATAACAACCCGTTTCCGTAATAGCAAACAGGTCTGCACCCGAACTCACAATTCCCGCACTAAACGCATCTAGCTTTGTTCGAAGACCTCTTGCATTCTGGTAGTAAAACTCAATAATTGAGTTCCTATTATTTTTTGGATCCTTGATCATTTGATCTCCGAAACCAAACCCACTCGCAAAATTCTACATTAACTGGCCATAATTCTGGCTGACATAGCTTTTCGTAAACACTTTCAGGAACTCCTATTCTGAAAGAGGCATAGTCACGCTCAGATTTATGCATTATCTTTTCAATTTTCACTGAAACTTCAGAACCACATAACTTTCTTAAGAATAATTCTAAACTCTCAGATGTAG